AATAATAATAAAATAATAAAATCAATCTGTTTCTATTCCAAATCGCCTAAAATTTCATTATTTGCCATTGTTCATTACGGGATCATCTTCACTTTCTTTAGCAGTAAATGAAATCCCTCTTCTGACTTCAGTATATTCCTCAGTTTCAATTGCATATTCTTCTGCAGTTGTAACTCCTGCTTTGACCTCAGTATTATAACTATACTAGGTTGTATTTTATATAATCACTTTGGAACATTATAGAAATGTGGTCAGTCATAATGCTACACATCATCATTGTATTTTCTCTTTCATTGAATTTGAGATGATGATATTGCAACAGCACAAGAATCAAGTACTTTTCTTAGTAAATTTTTCAGCTAAAAGAAGAAAATAATTAGTGGAATATACTAAATAAATTCGAAATATGCTAAATTAAATAAAGAAAATAATAAACCTCAGCCAATCACTAAGAATAGTTATATATAATGATAACGGATCTTTGATGATTTTCTTTATCTGATTTGCTGATTTTTGGTAAATAATATAGGTGATCACTGAAAATTCAGAGTAAAGGTTACCTTTCGTATTTCAAAATTCATTGATCATTTTCTTTAAACAAATACTTTACCGTCTTTACTCGCTGAGCTGTTTTCTAATAAATAATAAATGGTATTAAATTATTGATTCAAATAGACCCAAATTCAGAATATATTCTATTTGTTTACTTCATATACTCGATTATTATTATGAATTTATCACAGCTCTAAAGAGCCCTTTTTGCTTTTCTTAATTCTTCGAGTTGTCTGATGTGACTTATAGAAAGTTTTTAGCCAGTTCATAAGTTGATCAACAGAAGACCGAAAATTCAAAGTTAAGAAACTTTTGTAATTCCAGAATCTGACTATAATGTAATATAGCATTTTCTTGCTATTGAAAGATTCGTTATAGTCTAAATCATCTTTTAAGCTGATAGTTTTTAAAATTGTCTTTATTTTAGCCTAAATACGAAAAGCAAGAAAAAAATCAGCTAAAAATTTAAATTATTTAGACATAAATTTAAATATACTCTGGCTCCTTTTATGTTAGCCTCTTCTATTATCAAATTATCATTGTTCTCAGAATTGGTTTACGTTAATTCTAATTCATCATCAGTATAATGCATTGGCTTTTTTCTCTTTGATTTTGATGATAATTTTCTGATTTTTCTTCATTTTGCAAGAAAACTGGCATTAGACTACTTCAATGATCTAGACAGTCATAATCTCTCAAATCGGTCAAGTCTTAAATATTAAAAAAGAAAAATTAGTTATTGTAAATATAGAATATTAATATATAAATTTTTACCTTTCCTGTAAATCTTCATTTTTCTTGCTGAATTCATTGTTTATTTTGGCAAGAAATCAGTTTTCTTTCAAGAGATTGAAATTTTGTCACTTTAATTTTTCGATTCTCTTGATAAATTTAGCAAGTTTTTATTTTAACATTCGATTCTCTATGTAGGAATAAAGAAAATATATTGTTTATTATAAAATAATGAATGGAAATAAATCAAAAATAATATATCTGATTCTAAATCATTCAAATCATCAAGAATCTCGAATTTAACTATAGCTAAAGTACTTACCATTGGTTGTCATCAAAATTTTGATGAGAGCTAAATTTCCCCATATTGTTCTTGCATTTCTCCTAAATTTACGTCTATAATTTAAAAAAATTATTTAGTATTAATATAAAAATAATATTATATTATGATTAATTTACAATCTAAAATAACTAGTTCATTCTCAGACAATATTGTATGAACACGTTTTTATTTTTTTTCTATTATAGAAAAGCAAAAAAATCAGTTAACATTTGAAAAATTGGCTAGTTGATTGATAAAATTCAACTTACGTTCTGGTTCTTTATCAGCTGATTTTTTTCATTAAAGGCATTTTGTTGGTGTTGTTTGCGACTAAGATTCTATTGTAGAAAATAAAAAAAAATCAGTTATAATTTGAAAAATTGACTGATTGATTGATAAAATTCAACTTATGTTCTGGTTCTTCATCAGTCGATTTTTTTAATTAGGAACATTTGTTAGTATTGTTTGCAACTGAGATTCTAATATAAAAAACAAAAAAAATCAGTTATCGTTTGAAAAAATTGACTGGTTGATTGATAAAATTTAACTTACGTTCTTTTTGTTCTTGTGATGATTTTTTTGTTTGGCATTTTAATGGCATTTTATGAAAAGAGAAATTGTAAAAAGAAGAAATTAAAAGAAGAAATTTGATTGTAAAGATAAAATTTGATTTAAAAAGATAAAGATTGAGTTGAAATTATTTTTTTAAGAAGTGAAAAAATTAAGCTTATTTATATAAATTTTCATATATATGCTGAAAATAAACTAAAATAAATTGGAAATAATTATCAATGTAATATAATACTTTAATTATGCATTAAAAAAGACTTAAAGTAAATCAGAAATAATTTATCGATATATTAAATCAAAATGCACTTAAAGTAAATTGGAAATAATTTATCATGCATTAGATCAAAATGCATTTAAGCAAATAAAAAACAATACTTTTATCATACATTAAATCAATATAAGATTCAGAAATAATTTATCAATGCATTAGATCAAAATATACTTAAGTAAATCAAAAACAATACTTTCATCATGCATAAAATTAATACAAGATTCAGAAACAATTTATCAATGCATTAAATCAAAACAACTTAACAAAAATAGTTATAAACATTATAATTATTTTAAAAAGTAAATTTGTTTAATTGTTTACACTTACTAAAAAAGAAAAATAATAGTTTAGTATAATATTTGCAAAATTATTGCATTTTTTTAAAAAAATATAAAATTCAACTAAAATCGTTCTCAAAATAACTCCATTTCGAACTTTTATTTTCCTCTTAATTTTTCAATTATAAAATAAAAATAAGCTGAAAAAGGTCAATTTATAAAATATGTGGTAATAATGATGATTTATCATCTAGTTAATCTTCTAATATATCTTCTCATAAAAGAAATAGATTAATTTCTAGATTAATCAATAAAGAAGATATTTCTACTTTCAATCTTCAAATACACCTTTTCGTAGAAAAACAAGTAGATTGATTAGTAATTTAACTAATGAAAAAAATATATTTACTTCTAGGCTATCAACCTTTCATAATACTAAAATTAGATATCAAGATTCACAAAGTTATCAAATTTTTGATCAAAAAAATTTAATTTAAGCTATTATAAATGTTAGATAACCACATATAGTTTTGTTTTACTTAGTTGACTGACCATCCCAGTGAATTATAACAAATTGAAGAACTCGTTTTCTTTATAACTTTGAAAAAATATATGATTATAGTAAAGAATCTATTAATTATAAATGTAAAAATTTCAAAAGCTCTTTAATTATTTAATAAAATTTGTCCTCTGATTTCTATTTGAATTAGAGAAGGTGTATTATTATAAAATTCTTTTGAATTATGCATAAATACAACAATAATCTTTCTTGACATAAGACAATAATTGATCTTCAATATTGATTATTATCAAGTAATAGTTCAATAAGTACAATACCTTTTGTTTTCTTGTTGTTTATTAAATGCTCTAAGAATTAATTATAATCTGTTTACCTTTTAATTTGAATAACATCATGCATTATTGTATCTAGATCTTTAGTAAAAGAAAATTTACTTCAATAAATTTTAAATTTTCATGTATAAAAATAATGGTGTTTACAGATTCACTAAAAATTGCACAATTACATCTTTGTAAAAAAATACTACATAATTTTTTGTAAAGGATAAGGTGAAGGTAAAGGTGATTCTCTATTTTTATTTACATTGCACATAAAACGTCATTTCTATAAAAAGGTTCCTTCCCTTTAACATAAGTATCTTTTATTTAATATCAAAAAAATGTAGATTTTTTTTTTGTTATATAATAATAATAATATGAGATGAAAGTTATAACTTTAAAATAACTCAAAGAAACTACACACCTCACTTAGCAATGACTTATTATTATTCTTTCAGATGAACTTTTACAAAAAAATATTTTGGATAAATTTTTGATTTTCAGTAAATATAGAATTTTTTCTTCAAAATAAGTGAATACAATCTGATACTATTATCAAAAAAAAATAGATAACCTTGTTTATTATCATATCAATCTATATTATCTATATTTAATTATTATAATAATTCTTATTAACGAATATTGCATCAAAATTGAGTCTAATCGAACAGAGTTCAAACTAGTATTTCAGATTTATCAGATTTTTATTTCAAAATCTGGAATTTTATCCAGATTCATATAAATTTTGCGTAACAAAAATGTAACATTTTTTTTCGATTGTCATTTTTATCATAATAATTATTTATTTATTTACACATTAATCAAATATAATCAAAAACTACTAATTCATACAATTTTTAAAAAAAATACGGTAAATCTGAAAATTTAGATATATGCAGAATAACTTTAAGGTTTTTTTTAAAATCTGATTTTTTTTTATAAAAGATAATTAACCAGTATATGCCAAAGTCTAGTTTATACACTGTAACTGAAGTGTAGCTGAGAAAAAAAATATCGCAAAAATTATGATCAACTGTAATACAATTACTTATCTTATGATTACTAATGGTCACCTGTGATTTTTTATATTAATATTTTAATACTAGTGAAAATATCAAAGCTTATTTTAATGCAGATCATTAATATTTAATTATACAGTATATTATTATTTGTAATACAAATACATTTTATAATTTAAAAGTTACATTATTAAAATAACAATTATTAAAAATAGGAAGTTTTTTTTGAATATCATTAGTAGAAGAAAATTCTGATATTGTAGTAAAATTGAAAAAGAAATTTCTGGTTGAACATCAACATTTGCATTTTTATTTGTTGAATCAGTAAGAATTAATCTTAATAGTTCTATAGTATTAATTAAAGTATTCATAGTAGCAAGATGATGTTTTTTATTTACTTTTTTATATGCATGAATATTTTAAATACTTTTATGATCTGTTACTCCCATTATAGCATCTTCTGGAATAGCATCCTGAAGAATTTGAACAACAATTTTATGACCAGAATGATTTGTTAAAAGACCAAATGGAAGTTCTACTTTAATAGACTTTCCAATATCTTTCATAAAATTCCCTACTTTATTACTTTTATAATGTATTTGTTTATACTAAATACTAGTTTCACACTAAAGTGGATTAATATATAAATAGAAATTTTTAGAAGCACCACTAAGACGTTTAGACAAATATTTTTTAATAACATTGGCTGATTCTGAATTTGGAAGAAGATGAATATTCTGTGCAGCTTCATCCTTTAATTTTATACTGATTGTTTTTGCTATAATAACGGCAATAAAGTAAACTACCATTAGATAGAAATTGAAATTGATCTACATGAAGATTATAATGTTCACCACTATGAAATGCAAAGTTAGTTGCAATTTAAAAAAATACACGATATAAAAGACCTTCAGAGGTGTTAGGATTAAGAAAGTCATCAGCAAGAATTTCTTGAACTTGCTATGCAGTCAACACCATTGATCCCTCTTTTTCACTAAATCCTTTTTCTTGCAAATCTTTCATTTTGTTATGTAAAACAGTAAATAATTCTGAAAACTCATATTTATCATGTAAATTAATTCCGCGTATTGGAGAAACTTTACCAAATAACGATTAATAGCATCAACAGCTTGCTTTATTGAATTTGCTTTATATTCACCAGATGTTTTTTTAGTCATTTGTGTAATATATTCATAAACTTGTTGTTCAATCAATTTGGAATCTGTAATCTCCTCAAATGATGTAGTATAATTGCAACTTTTGCGCGAAATTCTTCAAATTTAGCAACCCAATTTTGAGTTGATCTTTCAGTATTAGGTACCATAGCTTTTTGACGATAAAAATTAAGCTTTTCTTGAATTTCAGATATTTGTGAAGAGGAAGAAGGATTCAAAGTATCTTGAATAGAAGTTGTAATCTCTGGTATCTTTTGAGAATGATAGAAAGTACTTGCATTAGTGAAGAAAGGGTTAAAAGTTTTGTGAAGTCTCTGTTCTTTATTGGTGCGTTTTTGAGGCATTTTAATTTTTTGATTTCAAAAGAGGAGTAAAAAAAGAGAGAAAGAAAGTATGGGAATTTTATAGCAAAATAAATGTTTTATAATGAAATAAACTTTTTATAGCTAAATAAAATAAACTATTAATAAACTAAAATTTTTCATCACAGGCGTTAATTCCCAGAAGATAAAAAAGTTATTCCACGGGGAACACATGGATATCATTGATATTTTCACGGTGTAGCCGTGAAAATCAATGATATCCATTGATTCCCGTAGAATAACTAATACTTATTTGGTAAATCACGTGTGGGCAGATATCACATGCATGGTTTTAGCTCTAACCGAAAGTGTCCTACGTTACGCTTCGGACAATTATGATGTAACCAACAAAATCGCACTTCAGTGAAATGAATCTTTGAATTTGGAATATCAAGAGGTTTGTTTGGACTTTAAAGGTTTCTTTCATCAAAAATTCATGCATATAAATAATATATATATATATATATTTTTGAAGAAAACCTTTACTGCTTATTACGTAATAATTTATTATGAATCTTATAATATTCGAATAAATAATTGCTTCCAATCTGGCAAAATTTTATTTATATTAACGAAAGAACGAAAGAAGAATAGAATATAATTTTATAAAAAATGCGTGAAATGTCATAAAGAAATTCAATCAACATTATTTTTGATTGATTCCAGACTGTTGAAGTAATATCTGAAAATAGTAATTAGTAAAATAAGAAATAAATTATTCAAGCATACACTTCGTGTACTATAAATCGATCACTTTTTATCTTTCGAGAAAGATTCAGATCGATTTGTCGTATGTCTTTGGATAATTTCATCACAGATCGTTGTGATAAAAGTAGAGTCGTGAATTGGACACAAATCAAGCTGAATTTTTTCGTTCCATTCAGATTAAATATACTCTTGACCTGATTTACTATAATTCATATACTCAAATCAAACTATATTTCGTCTCTGATTATTGTAATAATCTGAATAATTATAACCTCGAACCGCTTGTTCAGATTTTTTTTTTTTTATAGATCCAAAATCCGAATTGTATTAAGTAAGGTCCTATAATTTACCCTGAACCAGAAGTCAAGGATAAAGACGTTCTAAAATAATATATACAGTCATAAAGGGAACTGCACGTGAGACATTTTCAATTTCTAAATGTCAGTTTATTTAATGTATTTACATTAATTGTCACATGTTCTCTAAAAATTAAAGGTTCATCATTAAGTGAAAGCGAAAATAAAGTTAAAAGTTCTTTAAAGTAGCGAATAAATTTGCTTCCGATTTTGGGTTGTTGGCTTGGTATCTGTAAACTTAAACGATAAACTTTTAATTCAATCCGTTGAATTAAATACAAGACAATATCA